CTATGCAGCATAAGTACATGCATTTGTATTAGAAAAAAGTATAAAAATGGAGAATTTTTCCTTGTCATTTTTGGTGAAATTAGGACAAAATCCCTGTACTATGGTACAGGAACTTTGGCCCAATTCTTGAGCAACTTTAAAAATCCATAAAAAATCCAAATTTGATCGGAATTTGCTCAAACTTGCTATGCAACATAAGTACATGTAAATGCATCAGAAAAAATATTAAAATGAAGAATTCTCTCCTAGACATTTTTGGCAAAATTTGACCGAAGTCCCTGTACTATAGTACAGAGACTTTGGCCCGATTTTTGAGCAACTTTAAAAATTCATAAAAAATCCAAACTTGATGGGAATCAACTCAAACTTGCTACACAATATAAGGACATGTATTTGCATCAGGAAAAATTATAAAAACAAAAAATTCTCTTCTTGCCATTTTTGGCAAAATTTGGCCGAAATCTCTGTACTATAGTACAGGGACTTTGGCCCAATTTTCGAGCAACTTTAAAAATTCCAAACTTGATCGGAATTTGCTCAAACTTGCTATGCAACATAAAAACATCTATATGTATAAGAAAAAAATATTAAAATGTAGAATTCTCTCCTAGTCATTTTTGACAAAATACACTGTATTGTATAGGGACTTTGATCCCATCCCTAATATACTAACATCATCAATCTCTTTTGCTAGTTTGTTGCTATAGAATCTTTTTGATGGCTCCAAAGGGCGAGTCACTGGCAGAGAAATGTTTCCAATCTTTGTACTCATTCCATATTCACTAATCTGTAACGATTACGAGAGTAAATATAAACATGAAACTGTTGATAACATTGACCTGTTTATATGCCATATCAGTAACCTTCAATAAATCATCTTGAGCACCTACAAGACACACATAACAATGGCAATGCTGGAGTACATACAGTACCAGTTGTTATTCGACGGAAAGTAATAGCCTCAGCTGCCCTCCCGCCAAGAGCGAGTGTCATTCGATCAAAAAGCTAACAAAAATGAACAAGAGATAAAGGTAAAAAATATTACACTCGTTCTTACTTGTTCTTTGGTGTGGAGTCGCTGTTCCATTGGAAGGTACTGGGCAAACCCAAGGATTCCTTTGGTACGTGGAACTATAGAAACCTGATATACATAAAAGAATAGTCTTAGCTCTATATTACTAATTGACTCAATGATACCTTCAATACAGGATCGGTGTGTTCTAATAACCAACCAACAATAGTGTGGCCAGCCTCGTGATAGGCAATCACTTCCCTTTCCTCTGAGCTAAGAGCAGAGTTCTTCTTCTGCATTCCAGCTATAACTCTCTCTATAGCATACTCAAAATCATCCTCGGTGACCTTTGAACCCTGTTCTCTCGCTGCATGAAGGGCAGCCTCATTCACAACATTAGCTATATCGGCACCTTCATGAGAATATTTAAAATCACGACACAAAGGAGAAGGAATCTTATATACCACTATGCCCTGGAGTAAGAGCAGCCAGCCTTCCAGAGTATTCCTCGAAAGATTTCTCGAGTAAAATCTTTTTCAAGTAAACTTCAAAGATTGCCTTCCTCTCGGGAAGTGTCGGCAAATCAATAGAGATCTGACGATCGAACCTACCAGGCCTCAATAACGCTTGATCTAATATATCAACACGATTTGTGGATGCCAGTACAACCACACCCTCCAATGGATTGATACCTGTAGAGATCAAAGGCTAGAGAGGTCAAGCCGAGGTATTAGTTCAATTTACCATCCATTTCAACAAGGAGCTGGTTAAGAGTGTTCTCCTGCTCGCTCGTCCCTTCAACAGAAGCTCTGAGGAGAGAGAGAGAGAGAGAGAGAGAGAGAGAGAGAGAGAGAGAGAGAGAGAGAGAGAGAGAGAGAGAGAGAGAGAATGTGTGTAAGAAATGTACACATGGTATATAAGTTAAAGTAGTGTCTTGTCATTAATGACGTACCCAGATTGTCTTGATCTTCCTACAGCGTCAATCTCATCAACATACAATATACATGGAGCACTTTTTCTAGCTTGATCAAACAGATCCCTCACACGAGCTGACCCAACACCTTCATAAAATAATAATTAATGAATGAGTACATTTTAGGTAGAACAATTACAACTATATAAAGACCCATAAAAGTGATAAAGGATCATTCTATGAGTGAGCCATAGCAATGAGAAGGGATGCTAGTATTGATTGTGTTGCACACGTTAACCTACCTGCAAACATTTCTACAAAATCAGGTCCTGCTATTGAGATGAATGGAACACTGGCTTCCCCTGCAATAGCACGAGCTAGTAGGGTCTTTCCTGTCCCTGG